CTCAGGGAAAACCATAGGCGACACTGAGCATTTTCGCGAGCCGCGAACAGATCCACAGAGGGTTCCCCGAACTTGATCCAGATCTGTGATATCAGTGCGGGATGCAGACGCCAGTCGGAGTCGCGGGGTCCCCCTCTTGACAGGGTGTCTGCTGCCATATTCAGGACCCCTGGAATGTAGGTGGCTTTGATGGACAGCAGGTGGACATATGCCCGACACAGTAAATCTGTGGCTACACGCAATTGTGGGAGGGATCGAACTCCCCTTTGGCGATTTATGTAGGCTGCCGCCACCTGGTTGTCTGTGTGAACTTCGACATGACCGCCTTCGAGAAGGGCAGCGAAGTGTCTGATCACATTTCTCACCGTCATAAGCTCCAACACATTTATGTGCTCGTGCGTGTGGGAGGGCCAGTGATCTGCCACCGTTTTAGACAAGCATGTGCCCCCCAATCCCAACAGTGATGCATCCGTAAAAACAGATACGTGTGACGTAGGTTAACTTCCTGGTTTGCTCTGATGCCTCGACCTTGGACCGGGCGCATAGGAGCAGATCGTCCAGGTAAAATAAAACCCTCATTCCCGCCATGCGCAATGGCTTCAGAGTGGTCTCCAGACATTTGGAGAAAGTACGCAGGGCTAGCGAGTAGCCGAAAGGGAGATGATTGAACTGGTATTGAACTCCCTTGAATGAAAAGCTCAGGAACTTCCGGTGTTTGGGAATTACTGGGATGTGGAAGTATGCGTCTTTCAGGTCTGAGCGCACGTATTCTAGAACTTGCCTCATTGTTAACATGCGGAAATGCATCACTGCCATGGAGCAGTTGAACAGGGAAAGGTCGAGAATTGGTCTCATTCCTCCCGACTTCTTCGGTACTACGAAGTAGCGGGAATAGAAGCCTGAGAGCTCTTGTCCGCGAGGGACTTGGGAAATGGCGTCCTTGGACAAAAGTTCCAGCAGCTCCAGCTCCAGGGCCTGAGACTGTTCCTGTGACATGAACGTCGTCTCCATGATCCCGTTGAAGGGAGGAGGAGCGGACTGAAAATGGAGTGTGTGACCGCAATGAATGGTATCCGATATCCATTTGCTCATGAGACAAAGGCGGCGCCATTCTTGCGCGCGTTCCGACAGCGGACACGTGTTCGAGGTCACGTGAACGACGTCTGAGGACTGGGATCGCGACCTTACCGCCGGCGCTCGCACCAGAGAATTTGGAGCGACCCATGGAGGGCTACGCTCAAAAGAGTGAGTGTGAAACAGCTGGAAGAGGCTGATCCGCACCGCGGGGTCCAAAGATGAAGAAATGCACTCCTCGATGTCAAATGGTTTTAATGACAAGGATGAAGGAGCCCTGCAGCGACATACAAAGCTGAGTGAGCAGAAGCTAATGGCCACATGAAGCAGCAGCATGGGCTGAAGAACAAAGCTAAGCAATGTGATAAAATAGGTAAATAAATGCAGCACAGCTTAGCATGCATACTGAGAATGTGACCATTACATTAGCTTAACAAGCAGGTGAAGACTTACAGATACAAGTCGAACAGTACCATAGATAGACAGCAGTGTGATGGTTGAGCAGCAGCAATCCAAATGAGAGGCAGCAGTATGTACAGTGAGGGATAGTAACATGTACGTGACTTCGGGCACGTCCCTGCAGGGGATTAGTCACCTGTACGTGACTTCAGGCACATCCCTGAATACACCTTTTTCCCTCGAGGCTTGATTGCAGCACACCCTAGTGGCCAGTGGTGACCTCTGCATCCCCCCCACCCCCCACCCCCCACCCCCACCCCCTCCCCCCAGTCCAGGAAGCCGTGTGACACACCAGCGCAGTGGACTCATGACCTAACCTACTGGGCAGTTTCAGGTGCATACCGCTTGGGTGGCCACCTTACCCTACCGGAGCTCGCTGGCTGGGAGGAGGGGGGTGATGGGCACTGTTCCGGGGTCCGCGCCGCTGGGGCAGCATCCCTGTTGGCTATGTCTGGAGGATTCGGTACTGGCTGGGCGGTGCCAGGGTTTGTGCCTTGGGGCTCGGGTGGTGTGTGTGACTGATCTGGCAGGGGTCCTGCTGACCCCGGGTTGGTGGGACCTAAGTTGTGTGTCTCGTCATTGGACGCAGGCAGGGGCGCAGCACTCTCTGGGTTACTGCAAGAGGTGGCCGGGGTGAAGGCGCGGAGAAAGTGCCAGTTGCGCAGGGTGAGGCGGCCAGACCCATCGACCCTGACACGGTATTGGTCATGTCCTAGTGACTCTACTACCACCCCAGATCTGTCCCATGCCCGCAGGCTACCGCCAGCTAGGTTCTGGTGAACCCCGCTTTCCCGACTATGAGAGGGCGGAGCAGTTGTATGTGTTCTCTCAGAGACTCAGTGGTATGGGCCATCTGAGTCTGGAGGGCCTCTTCCTTCGCCGCCCATGCCTGACGCCATAGCGGACGGATGTGAGGGTTGGAGAACTTCTCCAGCCTAACAAATGACAGCGAGTCCCTAAGGGGGCGTCCAAAGATGATTTGCGCAGGTGACAGGTCGCAGTCGAGGTCAGGCGTATTACGCAGTTGCAACATCGCATGCAGAAAGCAATCATGGTTGAGGCTCCCTGTCGGGCCAGTGTTTGAGACTAGTAGGCGCTTTGCCGTCTTGACAGCCACCTCCGCCCTTCCATTAGACTGGGGGAACCCAACCGAGGACACGCGGTGCTTGACCTGCCATAAGTGGAGGAAATCCGCTGTGCGCCCTGCCGAGAACTGCGGGCCTCCGTCACTTGACAACTCCTCGGGCACACCAAACGTGGCGAAGAAAGCCCTTAAGTGATGGATAAGCCCAATGGAGGCCCCGAGATTGGTGCCCGTGGGAGAGCTCATGACTTCCACCCAGCCGGAGAGGCGAGTGGCCAAGCAATGGCAGCAGACTCCAGTGCGTCGCTGCAAATGGACGCCATATGCACCGACTCCTCGCTTTCGGTCACATTCCATGCGCCCATGCCACGGCCCTCATCAGAGCCAGAGGGCAAGGGATACCTGGAGGCTGCGTCGGCAGCGCAGTTGCTCTTGCCAGGCAAGTGTACAATGTCAAAGCGTCATGGGAGTGTGCGCTGTTTGAGCCTGAACAGGCGAGAGTTAGTTATCTCATCCAATGTCCGGTCCCCAAGGATCTTCACCAGGGGCTTATGGTCGGTGACCACGACCAGATTGTTGCACCCCTGCGTGAAGTATCTGGTCTGCTCCAGACCCCATGCTACAGCCAAGGCCTCCCCCTAAATAGCGGCATATCGCTGCTCAGCGGAGGAGAGAAAGCGTGAGCTGGCCAGAGTAATTTTCCATCCATCCAGACAGCAGCCAGGGACACCGGAGCTGCAGGTGCAGTGCTGCTAGAGGAGGAAGTATCCAATGCCGCGCCTGGACCAGTCTGGGCGGAGGCAAGTGCGCCTCTCCATGTCGTAGATCTCTACGCCTGCCTGGATAGAGTCCACGATGGCCAGCTTGGATGCCTGAAATGCTGCCTCTAACTTGGGTGACCACACAAATTTGCATCGAGGGCTCAGAAAGGGTTTAAATGGCGCCATTATGTCACGCAGCTGCGCGTAGTTGGCCACCTGATTGACCAGACCAAACCAGCTCCTGATGTCTGTGGTCGAGGTGGCGTGGGGAAGTCCCTGATGGCTGTCAGTTACTTTGGGAGGGGCTCGATTGTAGCATCAGAGACCCTGAAACAAGCAAGATCAACGTCCCTCTCAGCAAATTGAATCTTTGATGGGTTCAGCACGATGCCGGATCGGCCAACGTGCGTCAGGAAGTCGATTGTTCTCCACCAAAGAGTGTTAAGGTCCGTGTCATAGTGGATGGTGTCATTCACGCACCTTTCCTTCCGTTCAAAGTCGGAGAGAATCGCATCAAAGCGGCGATTGTAGCCATCGCCAGACGACAGAAAGCCCTGTGGGGCTCTGGTGTAACGCCAGCGTCCGAAGGGAGTGATGAAGGTAGTGAGATGATGGTCTGACTCGCACAGGGGCATGCTGTGATACCCATTCCAGGCGTCAGTGTCCAGTCTTCCAGGTCCCTTTCGGGATCCGGCGCGCCAGGTGGAATGGTGACTCAGTTGCGAAAGTCTCACGTTTGCAGAATTTGTTAAGAGGTGAGATATCGACGGTTCTGCGGGGGGTTCTGTCGTGCTTCCAGGTGACCACCATCCGGTGGCACCAGGTCACTGGTTCGCCATACGGGACACGTTCGATGACGCCCAGGGACTCGTCCCGAAGTAGGTGGTCATGCACCCTCTGTTGCCAATGCAAAGGCAAGGCCGCCGCAGTGTGGCGCGTCGTTGGCGTTGCCGCTGGGTCAACGTGCATTTCTATGGGTGGACCTATATATATATATATATACACACATTTTGTTTTTCTGATGAATTAATCATAATTAACGCATTAAATTCCCACCCCTAATTTAGATGTATATGCATATGTCTTTTTCTTCACAGGGTTAGGGTTGGGGTACACAAAACAAAATCATTAACATTCACCAATAACATACTGTACGCTTTCTGGTCATATGGTTTAAAAAGTGACTCTCAAGGCAGAGGGCATCTGAATTAAAAGCCTCATTTGACGTTTGATTTCACATGTCAGCAATGTTCTGATAGTTTGCATTAAAATACTGATTTTGCTCAGTATTTGTTCTCAAATTTAAAAAAAATAAAAGTTTATTTAAAAAGTTTTTTGTTTTTTTGTATATTCCTGAAGATTAGTCTTGGAAAGAGGGGTCATCTTATAATCGGGGTTGTCCTATATTCGGGTCAATACGGTAATGTCGCTTTAAACAGAAGCTGTGCTCCATTTGTGGTCACAATTCACTGGCTAACATTCAGTTATTCCAGGTCAAAATAAAGTCTGATTTTAACAGTGTGTGTGTGTGTGTGTGTGTGTGTGTGTGTGTGTGTGTGTGTGTGCGTGCGTGCGTGCGTGCGTGCGTGCGTGCGTGTGTGTGTGTGTGTGTGTGTGTGTACCATGAGACTGGTCCTCCATGTGTCCCAGAGTTTCGATCTGCTCCACCAGGTCGTTTGAGTTCCACTGACTCATGCCCAGCAGAATGGCACTCTTCCCTTCTATAACATCTGCTAAGACACACAAAAACACACATAATACACACTTTAACAAACAAATAAATAAGAAGACGAGGCAAAAGCCAAAACCCATTCCTCTTTCCGCATCTCATCACAAACATAAATCTCTTATTGTTACTGAAACTCTGTGTTCAAAAATTTAGAAATAGGATTCGATTTGAACTCTTCCATTATTTTATGTTCTTGTTTTGATGGGTGTGGTGGTTTGGCCCACGTCGCAGTATGAGTTCTCATGCCAAGTGCACATGCAGCTCAACATGTGGCACGTAAACAACACAACCAAAGCACATGGCAGGAGCTGATGGAGCGAACACCAAGAGGAGTTGCTTTTTTACGGCTGCTTATGCAACAAAAGAAATTAGATTTTTGTCTTGTAGCTTTAGCTAAACACTGTTCCATTATTTTATAGTTAAACTAAATGAAGGATTTGGACTTTAGGATCTATATTTACATTTCATGGGCTCAGATGTGTGTCTGCAGGTCCGTCGCCAGGCCTTTTTAGCCTCTGCTCCATTCAGTCAGTAAACAACCTGCCATAGATCAACTGTTCAATCAACTCAATTATTAACATGTTTGAAAATGTAATAAATAATAATCAATGTAACTATTACCTTGAGCCTTGTCAATATAAATTTCAAGCACAAGAATAAACCAATTAAAGCTATAAATTACTGGTTTATGGTCAGCTTCTTATACATTTATTAATTTCTCTAATAAAAATGTTGTTCCCCCAGCACAGATATTAAGAGATACGCTCACTTTTTATTACATGATTCTTTATATGGATGGAAATGTAAGTTAACATTGAAATCATCCTCTGGGAGGGGAAAAAGTTAATTGAAATTAACAAACCTTAATTACATCAACTGTAAATGGAATGATGAAGGTCAAATGGGGAGTTCTGACATGCACAGATAACAGATAACACAAATAACTCAAGCACAGTGAGGTGTCTGATTATCTGCTTTAAACAGTTCATCGGTATATAAAATAATATCATATAATATCATACAATGTTGTAATAACTGCAGCTTAAAAGAATGTGTCATCCTTATTCATTTGGAGCCCCAAAGAAGAAATGTCATCTTAGAGGCTGTGGAGAGACAGCTGGGACTGTTGTCAAGATGTCATAAATTACAAGAGAACTTGGTGAAAACTCCATTCTCCTACAATAGCATTTTGCTATTATAAGCAGGTTTAGGAATGTGCCTTTACCAAATTAGGACTTTAAGGAATGCTGTTGTAGAGTTATAAGCAGTGGACAGGTACCAGAAAGTCAGAACCACTATTGGGCTGCATGGTTCTCCATCGGTGTACCGATGTCTGTATTTAACATGGACTGGATTGTAATAAACCTGTTATATATATATATATATATATATATATATATATATATATATATATATATATATATATATATATATATATTTTTTTTTTTTTTTTACTTTAAGGGACTTTACGGAGATTTGAGATTTTATGCTCGTGATTGCCCCCTCAGGCCAAAAGCGTAACGGCAGCTTCAATAGTAGGCTCATGCACGAGGCGCGCATGCTGTACGTGCACACTCCTTAATGAAAATAACAGCTGAGACAGTCCTGTGTGTGTGTGTGTGTGTGTGTGTGTGTGTGTGTGTGTGTGTGTGTGTGTGTGTGTGTGTGTGTGTGTGTGTGTGTGTGTGTGTGAGTGTGTGTGTGTGTGTGTGTGTGTGTGTGTTTGTGTGTGTGTGTGTGTGTGTGTGTGTGTGTGTGTGTGTGTGTGTGTGTGTGTGTGTGTGTGGCCCAGAGGACAGGAGAACTTGCTTGAAAATTTTTTCCAAAATGAAAGTTGAACCCACATCTTTTTTATCTGTGAATTCAATGCCGTTCGGCAAGTCTCAAATAAAAATTGGTGCATCTTACTGTAAAAAAAAAATACCATTAACGTAAAAAATAAACTCTAAATAAACTATGTTCACATCCAGAATCAAACCCAGTTCTGCTGCACAAGAGTCCGACGTCTTACTAGGCGAGCTAAAGTGCCAGTGACGTCTTTTGTATCTGTAACATTTATATCTTTGATGACAGCTGAAACAATGTTCAAAGAACGGTTCGGAGCGAAAATGGCTATTTTGTTGCTAATTTGCAGGACATATCTAGAAGAAAGTAGCTAAGGGTCCTCAGAAATGTAGCTAGGTTCATCACTAGGCCTTAGGAACAGCGACAAAGTCGCTAAGTTGGCACTACCTCTCTCTCTGCTGCTAAAGCTACGGATAGCAAATGCTACGGGCTATGCCTGAGCGTGAACGCGCATGAAGCAGCCTGCTCGACCCAACCAGCTCTCTTTTTCTGTGATTTTACAGAAAAACAGGCAATCACAGTAAAAAGGCCAGGGCTCATTCTCGAGGACCAGGGCATTGCAGGAGAATGTATGAAGAAGAAATTTATTATTTCTATGCATGTTTTGGCTGTCAAACTTCCATAATGCCCCTTAAAACTTTGTCATCACAGAGTACAACCACTCCAAGATACAGGACCAGCTCGGCATGCAAATTAACCACAACAATTTGCAATGGTGAATGGTCTGGGTTTTGATAGCGACTTCTTAAGGCTGATTCATACTGACACTGCTCCAGCATGTCGGATCTGTTGGATCGCCATGATGCGACGACGTATGGGCGATTCAACAGTGTTGGATCGTGTTGGAACGTCGGTTGGAGTCGAGCTCTATTTTCTTAACATCCGACGGCGGCGTTGTATGCTGGACGTCTGTTATTGGTCAGCCGGCACGACGTAGCTTCCCTTAAAAAATGTAAACAGCGCGAGTGTTGACACAGTCCTGAAGACACGGAACAGATGGAGCAGAGTTGTTGTTCTTCTAGCTCAAGCAGCTCCTGCTCAATAAGAATTCGCTCTGTGTCTGTGTTGTCCATCTTTTGGTGTCACAAATAATAAATAGTAGTAGGGCAGACACGTCACTACAAGAGTATGCACACCTGCATAGGAGCGCGCCCTCTGTTGTTTTGGTGGAGAATTTCTTCAAAACTCAGGCCAATAAGTTAGGAATGTGCCTCCTGCTGTCCTGGTGGAGAACTTCTTTGCAACAGGTCGGGCCAGTATGAATACAGAGGAGATCCAAGGCTGCAGAAGTGTGTGTGTGTGTGTGTGTGTGTGGGGGGGGGGGGGGGGGGGATAAATGTGCCTTTGTTTAAGCATGAATCAGGCTTTAGGGTTCTACAACCCCCCCCCCAAAGCACTTTACAACACAATCAGTCAATTACCCATTCACACACACATTCACACGCTGGTGGGGATGAGCTACGATGAAGCCACTGCTGCCCTGGGGCGCACTGACAAAGGTGAGGCCTGCCAAACACAAGTACCACTGGTCCCTCCGGCCACCACCAGCAGGCATGGTCTTGTCCAAGGACACAACAGCAGCATTCTCTGGTCAGAGCTGGGATCGAACCTGCAACCTTCTGATTACTGGACAACTCTCTATACCTCCTGGTGGAGGTGACTTTAGTTTTCATGTATTTTTTTTTTCGTCATCGTCGTCGTCTTCCTCCGCTTATCCGGGTCCGGGTCGCGGGGGCAGCATCCCAAATAGGAAGTTCCAGACCGTCCTCTCCCCGGCCACCTCCACCAGCTCCTCCGGCAGGACCCCAAGGCGTTCCCGGACCAGATTGGAGATGAAACCTCTCCAACATGTCCTGGGCCGACCCGGGGGCCTCCTGCCGGCAGGACATGCCAGAAACACCTCCCCGGGGAGGCGTCCAGGAGGCATCCTGACCAGATGCCCAAACCACCTCAACTGGATCCTTTCGATCCAGGGGAGCAGCGGTTCTACTCCGAGTCCCTCCCGAATGTCCGAGCTCCTCACCCTATCTCTAAGGCTGAGCCCGGCCACCCTACGGAGGAAACTCATTTCGGCCGCTTGTATCCGCGATCTCGTTCTTTCGGTCATTACCCAAAGCTCATGACCATAGGTGAGGATTGGGACGTAGACCGACCGGTAAATCGAGAGCCTGGCTTTCTGGCTCAGCTCCCTCTTCCCCACGACAGATCGGTTCAGCGTCCGCATCACTGCAGACGCCGAACCAATCCGCCTGTCGATCTCCCGATCCCTCCTACCCTCACTCGTGAACAAGACCCCGAGATACTTAAACTCCTCCACTTGAGGTAGGACCTCTCCCCCGACCCGGAGTTGGCAAGCCACCCTTTTTCGGTCGAGAACCACGGTCTCAGATTTGGAGGTGCTGATCCTCATCCCAGCCGCTTCACACTCGGCCGCGAACCTACCCAGCAAGAGCTGAAGGTCAGAGCTGGATGAAGCCAGGAGGACCCCATCATCCACAAAAAGCAGAGACGAGATTCGTCTGCCACCAAACTCGACACACTCCAATGACAATAATTATTTTTCTGATTAATTGTAATGTAAATTTAATTCTCTTACAAATGCAAATCCCAGTTTTTCCTACGCCATTGTTTATCCTGCTTTGTGTGTGTGTGTGTGTGTGTGTGTGTGTGTTTGTGTGTGTGTGTGTGTGTGTGTGTGTGTGTGTGTGTGTGTGTGTGTGTGTGTGTGTGTGCGACCATGGCATCCTAGATCGAGGGCATTCTCCTGCGACTCATCCGTTCATCACAGTGCAGTTGTTGCCCCCACTTGTCTCAGCTCACTGTCAGATCTTTGTTTTCCACCAGCGAGGAAACGCTCTCAGCTCATGAATCTAAAAGTATCTAACGCTAAAGTACACCGCTGACACGACCAAACAGACAAGGTCAAGATAAACAAAGGAACTCTGCGGCTGTTTTGCCATAAAAACAACAAGTAAAACATGAATAATTGTTGACGAAATAGCATTAATTATTTATAAATCATTACGGTTAAACTCTGAAGGGCCTGAAACGGGTAGTCTGGATTCTTCCTGTTTCACAGCAACGTGGGTAAAAAGAAAAAGATGTAATCCCAGTGCAGGTTGTACTTGCAATGCTATCGTAGCGTGGCCTATGATAGAA